AGCATAGAGAGTGAAAAACATGGGTCAAAATAAGGATAGTTTAGTAAGGACAAGCTTTCTATGCTTCCTCTACAGCATAAAACTTATATACTTACCCTTATCCAACCCTCCATTTTGAATGGAGGGCTAAGATTGCCCCAATCACAATGTTACGTCCCTACACTATTTTATTTTTAATTTTTTTCTATAAACTATTTTGACCCAAATTTTGGACGTCCAATCCTCTATTAAACTTGCTCTAGCGAAAAATATAAAAAAAATATTTTCAATAAAATAAAATAACCAAAATACCCCTGAAAGTTTCAAGGGGCATTTTGGTCATTTTATTTTATCGAAAAATTATTTTTAATATTTTTTATAGGCGCCCCTCAATGAGTGCGAAGATGACACGTATCAAATTTCATATTTATACCATTTGTATAAAAAAAAACTAAAAATAAAATACTTTGAGACGTCGGATCTAAGATCAAACAGTGATTGATCAAAATTGGACGGCTAGGAAAACATTGAATCTTCTATGCTGTATAGAAACCTTTCCCTTTTAGTAATAAAAAGTCGACCTAATATTGTGTTGGAGTTAATATTGTGTTGGAGTTAATAGTATACCAAAAGTATTATTCCACTACAGCGAAATATTGTGTTGGAGTTAATATTGTGTTGGAGTTAATATTGCGTTGGAGTTAATAGTATACCAAAAGTATTACAGCGAAATATTGTGTTGGAGTTAATAGTATACCAAAAGCATTACAGCGAAATATTGTGTTGGAGTTAATAGTATACCAAAAGTACTATTCCACTACAGCGAGGTGAAGGATAAGGCATAATAACAAGTATTATTAATAACCAGTTCCACTACAGCGAGGTGAAGGATAAGGCATGATAACCAGTCTTTTTCCATTACAGCGAGAGAAGAATAAGGCATAATAATAACACTGGGGAAAATAAAAGATCTCATCGCTCCTACGGAAATTTATCCCATTGCGGCAATGTGAGAGAATATAGCCGATAAAGATCTCTTTCATCGGGGCCCCCACGGAAAGTTATCCCATTGTGGGGGTTTGAGGATATTGATCCGTTCAACGGATGTCAAGCAAAGCTGTGCCAAAAGCGTAGGAAACTCAGAGTGGGGTGTTGCGAGAATCGAACTCGCGACCTCTCGCACCCGAAGCGAGAATCATACCACTAGACCAAACACCCAATGTGGCATGCAAATTGCTCTTAATTTAATTTTATTAGTAAATTAAGTAAACGTACTCAAAATATAAACAAATCGAATTGGCTTAAAAATTACAAAGAATGTTGGTTATTATAGATTTTTAAATTTTTTCCCAAAATTCCCCTCGTTTTGAAGATACCATCAGTGGACCGATTTTTTCTTTTATTTTTATTTTTATTTTTTATTTTTTTCATCGTGTTCTATAATATTTTAGGATAATTGGTGACCCCCCATCGTCATACCACCCTAATTATGGTCTTACACTACCTTACAGGCAATCCAAGTATCATATCCTTTTAAGATTCTGCTACACCACATTATAGACCATCTGAGGTCTCCATTGTTGGACCTCCTATGATGTAGTCGAACACCAGTGTGGCCAGTCAGAGGATAGGGACTTCGGCATGCTAATTGGATTGAGCGTAAGCAATCTGGTAGCTCCATCCTCGGACTGTGGTGTAACACCACAATCTAGGCAATTCGTGGATTGGGATCTCGGACCGGTTGTCTTAAAACATAGGATACAATGAAGAAAACTAAATAAAAGGAAAATTTAAAATTGGTTTGGAGATGGTATCCTCGGACTGAGGGGTATGGATGAACTTTCTATAAAGCCTAGGCTTTATGAAAACAAAATAAATGCTAAGTTCAAATCCTTATTCGGAAAGCGCTATCGGCATTGGAAATCTTTATGATAGCTCTAAACTTAATTTCCAACCCCAACAATAAAACTTGAAATTCAAAAAATGATGCAAATCTTGTGGATATGTGAACAATTATTTTTAGGGAGAAATAGATGGTTTAGATGATTTGTTGCAATAGACACTATTTTTAGAATTTTGAAATCTTAATTTTTTTTGTACAACGATAATGTTCAAGCTAAGATGATCAATTTAAAGGTTTTTCAATTTTAAAGAGTAATGAGGTAAGACTTTACTTATTTTGATAGGGCTCAACTCTATCTGACCATTTTTCTTTTGCATTTGGAAAATGGTTTGGTAGGTCCTGCCATATCAAAATAAATAAAGTCTCACCTAGTAACTCATTGAAAATTGTAATTCAAGCATTGAAAGGCCTTTAATAATCTAAAACTTGAGCGTTATAGTTGTGAGCAGTGTTTAAAAAAACGCCGACTCGAACCGGACTCGCCCGATTCGACTCGGAAATCGCCATAGACGGATCGAATCGACGAAAAAAACGGGAATCGTCCGGTTCTAGAGAGAACCGGACGATTCTGCACAGTGACCCACCGATTTACTATACAGAATTGGCGAGTCCGTACAGTGAATCGGCGAGTCCCGTACGGAATTATTATATATATATATATATATTTCTTTTTTTTTTATTGTAATCCATGATAGA